GCCCCAAAATTCAAATTATTACGGCCCCTGCATTACTTCGAAGTCATCCCGCAGAGCCGTAAGCCATAAACTTGCCCTAAACTCGCAACCCTCGGTCAGCCCACTCCCTTCACTGAGGATTTCGTTGCGAGGAGGCCGATCTTCACGTCCTATGCTCCGGTGTTTATGCCGGACAGCTGGATTATTATTTTTGGCCAGAACTTCTCAAGGCGCGGTTCAGGGCTTTGGGTTTATTGTTTAGGGTGCTGTCGACTTTGGCATATTGGGTCTACAGGGCTTAGGGTTTACATTGGGTTTAGGGCTTAGGGTTGCGGGTACAGAATCAGCTCGTACAGAATGCCCTCAACATGGCTCAGCCTGAGAAGACACTCCGGAAACTTCATTAGGTGACTTGCTAATCTCCGCCCCTTGATGCCCATCCCACAATCTCGTAAGCCTGAAGTTTAGGGGTTTGGGGTTTAGGAACTATAGAGGTATGGGTAGTTCTCTAAACAAGGACCCTTTTAGGGCTCCTCAAACTGATCTATAAAGAGCTTTATAGGGTCTCTATAAGGGTACTGTAAGGATGTTGAATATGGGTAGTTCTCTGCATTAGAGGCCCTTTTAGTTTTTTTTTAGAATCAGGGTGCCGTACTATTTTAGGGGAGCTTAAAAGGGACCCTTAGAAAGAAAACTACTCGTGTAATCAAGGGTTAGGGTTTGGGCGTATACCCCCGGTCTTTTGACCCTATAAACCCTGCACCCTGAAGTCTAAACCGTGGGGCCAGGCAGTGCTCTGGGACAGATTATGCTGCCGAGGTTCCCAACTGCCACTCGGCGGGCTAATCTGTGAGTCGGGCAATGCTTCTATAAGGGTGCCGTCCTGTATTTGGGACCTGACATTAAGGGGCCATACTTAAGTGAACTACCCGTGAAGTAGTAAAGCAGCCCTTGAGCCCTAGAAGCGGTTTAGGGTTCAGGGGCATATGTGTTTTGGTCGTTGTGGCCTGAATGGTGTCCAACCCTCTATTTTCCGAGTTCGGAATGCAGGGGCGAGGTGTCATTTTTGCGGCTAAGGGTTTAGGATTTAAGGGCGTGCAGTTTCGGATAGAATGGTTGAGGGTTTAACGTTTAGGGAGTTGGTGTCAGGAAGTTGCAGTGAACGGGTTTATGTTTTTAAACGCAAGGTGTTGTTCACCCTCCAAAAAGCTGGCCTGAAGGTGAAGAACTCCCTATCAACACCCCATAAAGCCCCTGAGTCAGGTCCCCAAGATATTCAACTTCAAACTCAAAACCCGACAAAAAACACGGAATAACAAATGGGGGTTTCCGAAAATCGGGGACTCTAATATAGTACCCTAAATAGTAGGATCCCTATTATAAGGACCCCAAAATAAGGTACCCCTAATTTTCGGAAACTCCCAAATCGCGTTGCACACCAAATACAGTGCGGAGCCTCACCTCCCCCCCAACGGCATGAACTCAGTTTTAAAATGCGCGCTCAGGGTTTTGGTGTTGAGGGTTTTAGGGTTTCAGGGTTTAGGGCTTTACCGTAGGTCCAAAACGGGTTGAAGTTTGGGGGTTTTAGGGTTGGGGCAGCTTGGGCTGTGGGGTTGTAGGGTTTCAGGATTTTGGGTTTAGAGATTGTAGGGCTGTAGGGTTTCAGGGTATAGGGTTTAGAGTTTGTAGGGTCTGATGTTAAGGAGGGCTGGAGCAGCGAGCAACGGCTATATACCGAGGCTATTTTCCTGGTCCGCCGGACGTGCACGGAAAAGAAACCCACTTTTGGGGCTTCCCGGCAACACAGTTGACAGTCGTCCGTTATAATTTTAATCGACTTTTTCCACACCGAATGCGTTTTGGAAGTTAGGGCTTCGGATTCATTATACGCTGTAGGTGCTCTTGGATGTATTTATGCGCGGGTCGTGCTGCCTAGATGCAGGGGCAACGTTAAATGGTTTTGCAACCTGCTTCGCTGAGAAACGGAGTGCTTCCATTTCCAAGTCCATGATGCCCCACTGACGCTACCAAAAACAGACGCAGCTGCACATTTAAGCCAATGGGCAAAATCCAGCAACAGGATGCAAAACCCTAAGCCCCCACCCTAAAGAAACCCATCGTCTGCATTCATGCTCATCCTGACCGTGAACCTCACCACCAGCATCATCTTGGCTACTATCTTGGCTGCGTGTACTATTGAGCTAAACAATGAAACGGTCATGGTCTCAATACCAAGACTGTTGAATTTTATGTAGCTTTACCGTGCTCATCTTGACAATGACGAGTTTTCATGTTGCCATCATGCTCATCGTAGTACTAGAAGCGTATTCGTCTGTCGAAAGTATGTTACAGTCGTACACGGAAAGCGGCTCCTAGCAATATAGGGGCTACCTATACTATGTTGGCGGTTCCTCATTGCCGTTATCGTATATAAAAGCACAGAACCCTATTCTAATCAAAAAGGCGCGGCATTAGTCGTGAAGCCCTAACCCTAAACCCTGAACCCTAAACCCTAAGGGTTTAGGGTTTAGGGTTTAGGCGAGCTCTTCGGGTTTCCCCCCACAGCCTAATCCCCCCACCTCTGTAGCTTAAACCCTAAGCCCTTTTCAGGGTTTAGGGTTTAGGGTTTAGGGTCCTTGACCTCTTAAACCCCCGAAGCCCTAAATCCAAAATCCCCGAATTCCCAAACCTCCTGAGCTCAAACCCTAAACCCTCCTAAACCCCCTAAAACCTTAAACCCCTAAACTTGGCCCTAAACCCTATAGGTCCTAAACCCTAAAGCAGCAAAACCCTGACACACCAAACCCCCCAGCCAAGCCGAGGCTTTGCCGTCATGTCCGTGAGTTTCGAGGATTTGCTGAGGACCGCCTGGGTTTTGGGTTAAAGAAAGGGGTCTAAATAACTACCAAGACTTTTTTGGGGGTTCTTTATTGTAAGTATAGTATGATGGGCTCCGAAACCCTATTCTAATTATTGAGGCCCCTATACTAGTAGGCTTTAGGCTTTAGTCTTTTTGGTTTAGGGTGTAGGCATACCCATAGACACGTAATCTATGTATATGTCGTTCATACACATCGATTGTATTCCTGTGCGTATACCTACACGTATATACATATGTAGCCAGAAGTACATATATTGTACGATATACATATATATATATATATGTATGTATACAACCCACATATAGGGCAAAGCCAAATCAACTCTCCAAGAAGACCACATCTGTGCTTTTTCTCAAAGCACAGTGTTAGCCTGAGCTTCTTCGAGAATTGTGCTGCTGTCAGCACCACGATGACCGAAGTACTGCCATCATCTTCTTTGCGGCGTACACATGTTTTGTGGCTCAGCAGTCTGCTTTCTAGCCGAAATAGCATGCGATTCCTTATCCCGGTGGCAGGACTATCGACCTTGAGTCTTTGGCAGCTTAGCTCAATGGGTCTTGTTCAAGGCATGCCGAGTTTTGAACTACGTAGGTTTGTCAAGACATGTTCGCCAGCAGCACTAAACCCTTAACCCTAAACCCTGAGCACCATGGGGTTCAGGGCTGCCACTTGTGTAGGGCGACGTTCTCGGCGCCGGCATCAATGAGCAGATGGTGGGCTGGATTTTATGAGCACTACCCATAGGCCCCATAGTAGTTCCTTTTTGGGGTTACATTATAGGATTCTATATATGAACCCCCAAAAGGAACTACTTTAGGGCCTATGGGTACAGGAAACCATCTGCCGCAGCATTTGCTGATATTGCTACTGCTGCGACTACTGCTGCTACATGCTACTGCTACTGCTTACTGCTTGCTGCCTACTGCTAGTGCTACTATTATTACTACTACTACTACTACTACTACTACTACCACTACTACTGCTACTACTACTACTGCTACTACTACTACTACTACTACTGCGACTGCCACTACCACTACTACTACTACTACTACTACTACTACTGCTACTACTACTACTACTACGACTACGACTACTACTACTACTACTACTACTACTCGCAGACCAGTCACAACAAACATAGTGGCA